TGGGGGTTATATTACCCTTCTTCCAGTCATATCTTTCAAAATATTGAATAAACTGTCATTAAAAAGACCATATAAGTTTTGTTTGGGTTTTGGTTTTGTTTTTTTTTTTTTTTAAATTACATAAGATACAGGAAGTGTATATCAGTACTTCATGGGTACAAACAGGACTTGGTGAGATAACTGCCTGAACACAATGTTTCTAGGTCTGGAAAATGTGTGAGTGGGAGAGAAAAACATCAATTTCATTAGTGTTCTACTGATATAAAATATAGCATAATTCTTGTCCAGTAAAGGATCTGTTATCAATAAAGATGTGAGGAACAGAAATAGATTAAGCTACCTAGGAACATGCAAATCTTGAAGTGGTGCAAAAATGTCCAAGAGAAGTTACTGAGAAATAGGTTCAAACTCGTTACAGGTCAGAGAGTAAAAGATCAGAGGTGGAGAGTTATAGTTGATATGCTGGGGAAGTGAAAACTGCTATGATGTGTAAAACTGTGCTTGTTATGACGATTGTGTATCAGAAATAGTGTGTAATATGAACGATATTTTAAGGCTCAAGTTTTCAAACACAGATGGTAAGTTTCTTAAGCAGCTCAGAAGTCTCGGATAGCAAGAAGAATATTTTGATGGATATTAAGAATATCTGAGAGAGCAACATAAGCACTTCTGGAACATTTGCAATGTATAGCATAAACAAGTTCTGGAAGTGCAGGCTATGGGATCAGGAAGCTTCAGTTAGTTCCATTATGCCCCTGTCATCTGCTGGGCAGACTTGGAAATTTTATCTCCTTACAACAATGCTAAGGCATCCCCTCTTCAGGGAGATTGCTGTATGAGAAGAGTACTTAAATATTATATTATTGGAACGAGCACAGCAAATTATGCATTTGTTAAAAATTGTTGAATTGTTACAAATTTGTTACGTTGTTCTGCATTCTGAAAAACATAACCAGTTATTTTAATAGTCTGGTTTTGCAGATAGTTTGACAAATATGTTTTTTTTTCAAACATACATTTTAATTTATTCCATTTTCCTGCAATAAGGAATTACAAGGATTATGCCCACAAGCTATCTTCATTCCAATTTGCCTTCCTTTAAGTCTGTAATACCATGCTAATGACATCTGTGAGTTTGATATTTTAACTTTTTTTTTTTTTAAATAGTGACATGCAACTGGTTTGCTTTATTTATAAATAAAGCAATAAGTTGTACCATTCAAGTACTGACAGTGATGGTGCACTTGTACTATGCCAGTTTAACAAAAAAGCTGTTGACAGTCTGAAAAGGAAAGATGAATTAAATGCATTTTCATTAGTTGAAGGTTGGCAGTGGCACTTTCAATAATTCCAAATTTTTTTTTAATTGAAATGTAGTTTTCATTTTTGCACTTGATCTGTTTTCATCCTGTCCCTGCACTTCACTAGTTCAACATGCAACTGTTGCTACTTTGTTCTAAATTGTTCCTTTATCACTATCTCTGGCAGACAGAATGTCATCAGATCCAATAAGGAAGGGAGAAATATAATGTATAAAAAGGCTGGTTTAGAGAGAAGAAATAAATAGTCCTTCTTGGTATCCACGGATAACAGCACACTGGTGTAATAATAGTAGATACGAAATAATTGGAAAATAAGAAGGCCTGTTTTCCTCTATATAGGAAGGAGCTGTGCAGAGCAAGTGTGACTCACGCTGCATAAAATTAAATTTGATCTAATAACTCAAACATATATAGTCTTTGTTCTTTTTTTGGTGCTGATTTTTATTTCCTTTGCAACAGAGTGACTGGCCGGAAGGATACCACCTTGCTTCTGCCATGAATTTCCGTTTCCCGCAATGCGTCCCTATAAGCCTAAAAACTCTCATCCCAAATGCAAGCAATGAAGCAATACAGCTTATGAGTGATATGCTGAACTGGAATCCAAAGAAGAGACCTACAGCAAGTCAGGTCTGAGCATTTGGATGATTAAGTATAAGACTGAATTTTCTTGCATTGTTAAAAAAATGGTAGATACAGAAAGTGATTCATTGTTGTAATACTGATGACCAGAGAAATGCTTCCTCATTTTGACCACTTTGGTGAGAATGAGACTGGTAGTGAGAGAGGAAGTTCTAAACCTTACTCAGCAGACAGCATAAACTCTTTAGCTATTCCTGCTATGTTGTCTTCTGTATTGGCGTATTCTAGAACATTCTCTGTATGGGATAGAGAAAAATCTGAGCTGCAAGTTTCCTCAATTGCAACTATACGTGACTTCTGCTGCCTGTTTTTACCTTCCCCATCTGTACAAAGGGGGATATGTAAATAAAACTTTACTTTTGTGAAGCTGCAGATGGAATGCAGAATGGAAGAACTAAGAATTCTTTTTGCTCGGAAATGGGATGTAAACAGTACTAAGTGCTAAGAACTTTGTGAAGAACATACCAGTAGGTCACAAAGGTTGCCAGTTTTCTCCAAGTTAATTTTTAAAGAACAAATTTCAAGTACCAAACATGGTTACATATTCTGGATTTATTTATTTATTTATTTATTTTCTCCAGTATTCATACCTACTGCAATGTGTTTAGAAGGTATAAAAGGAGAATACAATAGGGAAAAGAAAAGGACACATTGCAAGTTATCCTAGGTCGATGTAATGTGATTCAGAAGTGGTTAAGCAGATGGTACCAAGTAAAGCAACCCTTTCTCTCCACTTTATAAAGCATATCTATTGTTACAATCACTGAGATCGAACTGTAGTCCAGTGCTATTTATCTCTACACAGAATACTGTATTGTGCTTTATGAAAGTAAACAACCAGCTTTTGCCCAAGTGAGTTATCAAGGAAGCAGCTGCAGCAGTTGTGTAATCCACAGCCAAAAGGAGAGTTTAATGCATATACATTGAAATGTGTACAAAGGCAGCAATTCTCAAGTGCAGCTGAGGCAAAACATCTCTTTGAGAACTAACAAAGAGTAGGCTTCTACCCAGAAGGAGTAGCAGAGTGCGTTGTTTTGACATAGGAGGAGCTGTGTCTCTAAGATATGTCCATGCTGTTTGTCGAGCAGTGGACCTTAAAAGGTCAGAGAAAAACAATGAAATACACATCTGCCTGAAGACAGACTCTGTAGTTTCCTAATAAACACCACGAAAGCACAGCAAACACAGTGACTGTATCTCAAAGCAAAACAAAACCAAGGAGAGCTGGTAATAAGAAAATGAAGGAGCAACTTTAATTGTAAAACTCATATATTAATATTAAATGGCAGTCATCACACTTCTGGGGTTTTGGTGGTTTGTTTGTTTGTTTTTAATCTGTTCATCAAGTTGCCAAAACATACTTAGCAGTGGAAACATGTAATAAAGCATGTCGTAAAGGTAGTGGAGACTCCCTGTGCTAAGATTGAAATTTGTTACTGCATGAATATAGGATGGTATGGAATGTAAAATGCACTATGAAACACAGATTCCACAAAACCTAGAAGTAAAGGAGGGGAAGAAAGGACATGACTGCTGTTAACATGTTACAACTGGACCTGTCTTTCTAAATTATATGATGGGAAGAGTTTAAAATACAGAATTACCAATTCATACTTTTTACACATGTTCTCACTATGCACCTGTCTTGCATCTCTGCCTTAGGGCTTGCTCAAATGCTTCAGGAACCTGCTTAAAGTAAACTTTTTGAAGTAAAATTAATATGTTCTATCTTCTCCAGGCTTTGAAGTACCCTTACTTTCAAGTTGGACAAGTTTTAGGACCTCCTCCACAGTATCTGGAGAAGCAGACTCCTATTAAAGCAGTTCAGCCAACAGAGCCAAAGCCAATTTTACCTAAACTGGAACCTATATCCAAGCCAGAACCTCTGTCTTCACTGGATGTACCTGACAAAACACAGCCGCAGCCCCTGTCAAAGGTTAACCACCAGCCTCTCCAGCAAATTCAGTTGCCTCAGAACACTGCTAACCAGCAAGTACCAAAACAGCAGCAGCCACAGGCACAACCATTTTTACCAACTATCAATAAAAACTCATTGCCAGTAAGTTGTCTTCAATAAAAACTTCGGTGGTTTTATTAAAGGTTCTTACTGTATTCAGCCAGGCAATCCCTTGAAAATGGTCAGATTTTTTATTAGAGGAAATATAGACAGGTAGTTAGGGACTCATAAAGGATACAACTGGCCACTTACTGAAATTTCACAGCAAATAAGAATAGATTGCTTGTAACAACAATGTATGTTCATTTATAATAGCCTTTACTGTTATGCTTATGCAGTAATGTAGTTACAACAGCTATCATTTATTGACTTCTGAGAAACAGTTCACGAAAACATTGTTAGTGTACAACAGAGAAGTGGAAAGGGAGAACTTTGCTTGCCTCAAGCAGTAAAACACCTGAGATTTCATCCAATTCCTAAGCTTGTAAGAATTTATCAAGGAAGATTTTTAGCAAGATGAATATTAAACTTTGTAGTCTTCATTTTGCTTTCCACTTGCTGAACTAAAATGTGAAGTATGTTAAGAGTAATAGGTATTCAGAAAATACAGGAAAGCAAACTACAGTCAACTGAAAGGACAGTTTTAAAATCTAGTAATTTATTTGGAAAATGGTGTTAAGGAAAGGCCTGGTAACTTTCTTTGCTGTGTTTACTTTGGGGCCACAGCAGCTGGCATGCCTAAACCCTGATTGCTGTGAATGTTCTGCACCAGTGTGCTCTCCTTCTTGGCAGTTCATCTATACCACTATTTGAGAGCATGAGTTCAGCACGACACAAGGAGTAGAGGCTGAGCACTGAACTGGGTCTGCAAGTAGAACATTAACTTTAGTGTTTCAGGTAGATTTGAGAAGGATGACAGTCTAAAGGAGCAAAATACCTGCAGGCATTATTGTTATGTTTTCTGCTTAAAATCATTCTGAGACTATGACCAAAATGGGCACAACATAATGGAAAAAAAATCCCTCAAAGTTTGTAAGTGTAGTCAGGAAGTGAACTAGATGTAAAATATAAAATTATAGAATTGAATTGAAGCTTTTTTCCTATTTAAAATAGAAACAAGCAAGTAGCGGCCCTCAGAATGGTGCAGTAGGTCCTAAAAGCTGCAGAAGACGATGGGGTCAGACTTTGGTAAAGGCTGTGGATAGCTGGGACGACTTGGATGACACAGAATTTGGAATGTCATGTTCAAAGAAACCTAGCATTGCACTGTTAAAAGAAAAGAAAAACAAGGAAAGTCTTTTTAGGTAAGTCCTGTAAGTATAAAATCACATTTTTTAGTAAACAATATCCAGTAGATTTATAGATTGATTAAGACAAATCTGCTAAAATATAAGTCACCAAACTTCTGCAAGAATGGCAAAGAGCTGGATAAGCAGGCTAGCTTTGGGCGTGGTGTTGATATAGCACCAGGAGTATCCAGGGACTGCATGGTTTAGGTGTTTGTCATGGTATTAATAAACTGTGTGTTTTACTAAAATCAGATATACTAACTTCATTTCCTTTGTCAGTTAAGTGTGGTGCTCAGCTCTGCCACAGTTATCCACATTTACTTTAATTCCATAGTGTTGGTTACACTTTTTTCTTTAAAGTCCTATGTCAAACTCCCATGAGGTATGAGATTTGGCTGTTACTTTGTGGAAATAAATTTTACTGGTGAAAGCAGGATAAGAGAAGACCACTGTAATCTTCAGGCTAGGGTCACCTTGTGGTATTCTGAGCTGGAGTTGTTGGTCACATCTTGTTTTTTCTTTGAACATCTTGATTTTTCAGTGTGCCAGAACCAAAAGCTTCATTCAGTATCCAGCCAGGAGGGGAAAATAAGGTTCTGATGGCAAATGATTCTGGAAGGTTAAATACATCAGCAAAACAGTACTATTTAAGACAATCAAGATATCTACCTGGTAAGGGTAAAAGTCAATACATATGGAAAGTACAACCTATGAACAATCTACATACATTTAAACTTTACATTTAAACTTTAGATTTCACACTGGATAATTTTGTTGTTCATAACCAGGCTAAATTTTCAAGTTGTGGTCTAAATGCCTTTCCTAGAATATCTTTCATCATAATTACTGCAGAAGTTCCTGGCTATGTAAACGTGGAAGGGAGCTCAATGCTGCTTCTGCACCATAAGAGCTCACAGGCCTTATTATGCCTAGTAACGTATAAACGCTTCAGTAATATGAATCCAGTGTCTCTTGGATTCCTAGGAATATATCCTAATATATTATAAATGTATCTGAGGACTAAAGAAACTACATATATATATATATAGAGAGAGCATAGTTATCAGTTTTTAAATGTCAGGAGGTTTGGGGTTTTTTTGAATTTAAAGTTCTGGTAAGCACAGTTACCCTTGTGGTAGGAAGTGTTTAGAAATACCAGCTGCTCACATTGGCAGAAATTCACATACTCGTTTCCCTTCCCAAGGTAGTCATCTTCCTTAAAAATTAATAGATAGCTTAGTCTAAATCTGGGTGACTTTATCAGGAAATAACATGAAATGATGAAATTGCTAGGAATAAGAATGGGAAGGAAGAAAAAGAAAATTGAATGTTTCCTTCAGTTAATATTCTGAATGTATTCTATAATCAAATTATTTCTTTGGTGTTCCATTTAGTATATTTTCTTTATTGATGGTTTGCATAATTACAGTAAGCGTACCATGACATCTACTGTAATCCACACATGAGAATTTAGGTGGCTCACAGAGGAGTCAGGCAAGTTGTTTTGTTACAATGTATTACTAATTTCTCAGGAATTCATTAGGACAGTGATGACCTCTGAATAGGAAATCACTTCTTGAGTATTAAATAGGATGCCCTGAGATTAATCAGTTTAAGTCAAAACAAAAAAAATGAGGGGAAAAGGGGGAGGAGCTTCCCTATCTAAAGGTAACACAAATGGAAAGTTTCTCTGTATTTATCTTTTTTTTAGGCATCCTTCAAATGTCTCTCTGGTTTTAGTAGAGCTTTCAGTGAGAAAAGCATAGATGTAAAAAATAATTTCAGCGCTTAAGAGAATAATAGCTCCGAGGATCATATTTGTTATTTATCCATATTACTTTAGTTCTGTTACCACTAGATCTGGGAGCTGCTTTCATGCTGTGTAATCCTATTAACTCTTATAATGCTCATAACATGCTGAAGTAACAAGAACCTCTTTGCTCTACTCTAGCTTATTCCTTGAAGAAATAGCTTATTTTCAGCCTTGAGAACCCTAGTTTTTGATAGATATTTTTAATTTGTATTAATTGTTTGAGAGTCAAAAATATCAATAATGAGACTACGGTTTTATAGAAATTAAGTAACTGTGCTAAAAAGACTTTTAAAAATCATCTTGAAAGCCTGAAGGGAATTGTTCTTAATAGTGTTCTTAACAGTGTGTCTAGTTTTCATGATTTGGCTGGAAAAATTTAGCCTAATCAATGGACATTGTTGTTTAAATTGATGGTGTTTACATTATACCGCAAATAATTCAGTGTTGTTTTACTGTTGTAGAAATGTCCATTTTTCATTGGTTGAATTATGTTTCAGAATTGATATTTATAACATTTTCTACTTTTTTATTTCCCCCCTAAGGTGTAAACCCTAAGAGTGTCTCCTTAGCAGCAGTCAGTAAAGAAGGATTACACGGAACCTGGAACAACCAGTTGTACTCTAAACCACCAGCACATGCTGGAGGAGGAATGACTTTCAACAGAAATACTACAGGTAAAAGTGTAATTAAAAGTGGTTGCATTTTATCTCATAATACTTTAATTAATTAAGACCATCTGGTTTAACATCTGTTGTCAGGCTTAGCTTCTAGGCTGATACTTTTTTGTCTTGTTTTAACAACAGACTCTTAAAATAATAACTTCTTTAAATGTAAACTAAGTATTTTGCTTTCAGAGCATAAAGGAAATATAGACCAGCCCCTGTTATAAAGTTGTGTCATGATAAATTTTGTCCATAATCCTTGCAGACCATTATTTTACTGTGTTAATTTAAGTAAATAGTTTGACCTCATTACTGCCTGGTCAGTGTGCTTATGGAACACTATCAAACAGCAATCTCACATATGAAAACAAGATGGTGAGTGGTGTGCTTATGTAATGAAAGTACTGCCTAATATTCTAAACATGTCTTTTAACAATGTACTAGCCTTGACCTAAATACTATGCTGCATGAGAAGTCCCCTTATTTTCAGCAAGGAACTTGCAATAAGGTGCTTTTTGGTGAAGAATTTTGTGAAGAATACTATTACCAGCATTTTATAGAATACGACTAGTTAAAAGGGTTATCTAGGATTTAACTGAGGAAAGCATCAGACTCAAAACTAAAGTTTATCTTCTGACCAGTAAGGCCGGTACTTTAAGTACACACTCACATCTCCGTGTTATGGGAGGTTACCTTATTAACAACTTTGCAGCATTGTCCAGCTAGCATGAGTCACTCCCAAATACTTTAATGCCAATAAATCACCTAGCCTTACATGCTTGTACAGAAAGATCTTCAGGTTTGTTTACATACAGATGCTGCACCCCTTTTTAATAGAAGTTTAGTAGCCATTCTGCAGTGTCAGCAAACCTGATTTTCCCTTTGAAAGTCAGGTGAGCTGTAAGTTGTTCATCTGAAATTATGTGAAAGATTTTAGGAAGTGGAAAAATAACAGTACCTATCAGAATTTTGATGCAATAGAAGAGACTTTTTTTTTTTGTAAGTAATCATCATATCTACCTTTTTGTTTTCCAAAATATAGTATCTGGGTGCCTCAAAATGAATGAATTAATATATTCATAAAATAGTCATACAAAGGAATAAGGCATAAAAAGGTCCAAGAGCTGTTTCCAAAAGTATGCATCAATAAGCTAGACATCTACCTACCGAATTGTACTGAAAATAGAATTAAGGTGCATGCTAATGGTAGAATTCCTGCTTTTGTCTTATTGGTTTACTTTGTATATGTATCAAAAGTTTGAAGAAAAAAAAACCCCTAAAACTGATTATTTAGTATGTTTGAAAATACTTGGTATTATTTCCATTGGTATCTTAATTTGCATGTGATGTTTCATGTGCTGGGGATGCAACAGTATTTAAGACACACATGAAAGCAGGATAGCTGGAGCACCAATCACGGAAATACAGCACATGTAAATTACATTTGTTTTCTTCTTTCATATTGACAGAACTGAAAGCTGACACTGTGCTGGTTACTGTTTAAATAATTATGTTTAGTTTATTTAAGTCCTTTTTTTTTTATCTCATCCACAACATTGCCCTAAGGTGAAATAAGATAAAAACAAATAGTTACAAAATTTTTATAAAGAATTGTGAGGTTATGATCAGCCACTGTGGCGATACACCTGAGTGGTTAAACTTGTTATTTACGTATCTGTGTGACTGCAGTGTGATTGCATTGTTGGTAAAAAACATTTTTATTTTATTATTACAAAAGGATCTTGTTAAATAACTTGTTAAAGTAACATTTCCTGCTTGAAAAGAAAGATAGGAATGAGACATAGTTACAAAGATGTCAGATATTTATTCTTTCTTGCTTTATTTTCCCTCATTTCTTTTATATCACCTAACCAGGCTCTTCATACACTTTTTCTAAAGTTCTGTCTTTCCATCTTTCTCTTCATTTTCCCTGTCTACAGATGAGAACTTAATTATACCTATTGAAAAGCTATCATGCAAAGAAAGTTTGAATGAAAAATTAGAGGATCTGAAAGGTAATTATAGCAATAATAGCCTGGTTCTTTTGCACATTTCTTATTTATATTTTACCTTTCCTTGTAAAAATTGCATATATAATGCAGATTCCTGACGATCATATACTTTATTTTCAGTTGTAATCTGTTTTGTCAAACCTTGCTCTCTTCATTGTGATTTCTGGATTCGTGGCACTGACTGTGCTTTAAAAGACAGAGAATATTCTATTACCCTGATTATAATCCACAGCATATCACTGCACTGTTGATGGATAAGGGTGAAGAAGTGATCCTAAAGGAGCAGCATATGCATCTGTCTTGAAAGACTGCTTGTTCATAACATCACCTGGAACTTGCACCATTGACAGCATTCTGATTCTGTTACATTGATTTGACAGAGTATTTGACAGATTTTGGTGGAGTTACATCAGCGTAGGAGGGTGGAAACTCAGGTTTCTGCGGAGCCTGTTGTTTAATATTGTTTATTGTCTGAACGCACTGCTGCAAGCATTGTAAGGCTGCTGGAATGTTTCACATTTCCCCAAGGTTCTGGCCCTTCTGGTGTGTATTGCCTGTGGGATGGGTTTCATTGCAGCTATTCACATGGTTTTTTACACTCTCTACCCAGCTCAAATGATTCAATAACTTTATCATTATGAATTATCATAAATTCTTCATGAGTTCTTTAATTCTTGATGAATTATTCACCAATTCTTCATTATGAAGAATCAAGTATGTGTTGTTTGAGGTAGGGCATACAGCCTGGGCCACGCATTTGCTATCTTGGCCATGAGTGTTTGTCTGTACACCTGCTGCCTAACCTCCTGGATGCCTGATGGATGAACACTTCTCTAGCAAGAATCCGTTTCTTTTGTACAGGACTGTTCAGAGGTAAGAACTGTGTTTTTCAATAAGATTTTTTCGATTTATCTGTAGTTATTCTGTTATTTTGTAATGTGCTTTTTTTTTTTTTCTTCCCATGTTCTCGTGAACAGAAGATCACCCCTGCAGACCTTTCTGATTCACCCAGACTGCTTCTCCTGGCTGCACATTTCCATTTCCTGCGGAAGGGTTCATAAAGGACACTGGACATTGAAAGGTAAGGAGAACCAAATAATGGTTGAGCAATTTTTGACAGGATAGGCAGCTTTGCTGAGCGGTAGATAAGAAGCAGACAGAAGTAGTCTTTCTGAGGTTATATAAATTAAGGCCTGTCATATTCTTATTTTCAGACCTCAGAATTTTAAGGAATGCTACTGAGCTGTCAGAGCTGTGAACCACTCCCAGTGAAATAATTAGGAACTGAGGGAATAACATTCTCTTATGTGTGTGTACGTGCACAGGCAGGTGAACAAACCACTAAAGCTGTGATGTTTTGTTTTTCAGGCAAATTCACGAAAAGAAAGAACAACTTAAAGACTACAAGAAAGTTAATTTTTTTAGAATACTTTTATTAAAGTTGTATTTTTCACCAAGGCTTTTGTGTCATTCTTTATTATGCTGGAGACTGGCATCAACTGAACACAGACAGGGAGCCCACATGGACACCCAACTATTTGTGGAACTGATAAAAGTGACGGTTTGGAGAGGCTGATGAAACTGAGTTAACTTAATGGGTTTTGTTAGTGCTCTTGAACAGGGAGATATGCAATGACACAACACAGCTGTAATTAGCTGAGGGATACCTTTTTGGGTTTGTAGTTGACCAGTTTTGCAGTTTATAGATCCACTGCTCTAAGCTCTGAAATTATCACAGAAGACTGAGAGTGTTTGTGTGAAAAGAAATATTTTGGGATTGCACTGAGGACAGACATTGAGGAGACAGAAAAACTGTTAAATCAGATACAGTTTTACTGCAATTACCACTGAAACCATGCTGAATACTAGTATGATAAAAATGCTCACACTTGATAAAGGTCAAATTAAATCTATGGTGTATGGCCTTGTACTTCACAGATTTAACGCTACTCAGTACAGAACCACACCACTAGAGAAAAGCATTTCTCTCTGGACATTTTGCCAGCACAGTATTAACACTGTCCCAGGTGATGAAGATAAGAAATTTTCTTGGAGGAGGGAGTCTAAATATTGTAACAGATACCTCTGCCACTGGACAACAACTTCAGTACTGATTTTGTGTGTAAATGCACAATGTTTCTCAGCTTCCAAATAAGGATGGTTATGTCAACCATCCCAAGGTAGCACTGCTTTAAAGAAAGAGCTAGACCAAAACTCGGCAATTAAAATCGGGGTTAAAGGAGGATGGTAATTGGGTCTAAATTTTATAGCAGGTTTTCAGCTGTGGAACTGGCAAAGGCACTTCCAAGTAGTGCACCTCTTCCTACAAGAGAATTTTGGTTCCATTATTTTAGATAGATTTAGGCCTTTAGAACATGTTGAGCACAAGAGTGCTGTTGAGCGCTAGCTTTCAAATACTGAAGTGTTTAAAGCAGCTTCCAGTAAAGCAAGTAACTATAAGCAAAAGGTAAGATCCTACCTTTCTCTAAAACTCAGTGGAAACCTTTCTACATGGTTTAAGTTTAATGAAAATACTAATGAAATGTTCATTGTGCTCTGTTGTCTTTATTCCTCCTGAACTGCAGATCAGATGTACTGGATCTGCAGCGTAGCAAGTCTGTTAAGTGCTGTAAAAGGTCTAACTAATACACAAAGCAAAGAGTTAACATACACTTTTTCTTCAACAGACAAGTACTAGGGAGTTTTTAAATAACATTCATACTTGGAAATCTCGTGGTTCTGCAGTTATATTTTGAAGTGACTTTAAAAAGTAGGCAAGGTTTTCTGAACACAACTGAAAATACTAAACCTCTGTAATGTCAACAGGAAATCCTGGCTTTGTAAGTGGTGCTGCTTACAACCCATCAGGAGTATGTAACTCTTCCTTTCATAAAAAAGAAGTTGGATCAGCAGGACAACGGATACAGCTAGCTCCTCTTGGTGCACCTGTATCAGGTAAGAAACATCCTTCTACCACATGCCTGAGACAAAGAGAAATGTTCATTTCCCAGGCTCCCTAAATATATTCCTATAAATTTAGATTTATTACCCTTAGCAAGGTTTTCCTCAAGTTTTGTAAATAAAATTCTTGGGCATAAATTGTTCTTAAGAAAATTGAATGTAGATGTCTAGAGGCAGTCCTGATAGCTAAAGAAATTGTTACTATTGTTAGGTAAAGGAAAGAATAAAAGTGCAATTGAACGATGCTGATCCATGCTTACAGTGGCCTCAACAGTTTCAAAAAAGTCAAAGAAAGACCTTCATCAACTGACTTAGGAAATTCACAAATAACATTACAGTTATGATATAAGCATTAAATTCACATTATTTTCTCACTTACTGGCTTTGCCAACTTGGCCTGTGGTTTCTGCAGTGGTCACATAGGCAGTTTTTCACTGTCTTCATCTCACTGTGTTGGCTGTGTAAGCCTATGGATCCCGAGATGACACTTCTCTTGTACCCATGAGGTACATTATACAAGGGAAAAGCCAAACGAGAATGCAAATGATGAGTTCTTAATAGTTATGATACAGTAATGATGGAACTGTATGTTAATGTACATTAAAAGACTGTTTCATCAGTTAAAAACAATGTGAAATCCATTATGAATGTAACTGTTACCTTGGATCCTCTATGATATGGATGACATTCTGAGCACCTTCCTTGCTGGCATGTTTCCAGTTCAGAGATGGACAGAAGTGCTCAGGATGCAGGAGAAACTGGTTTGTGAATGAAGATTTAGAACTGTTGTCCAAACCCAGCAGCACGCTTTGCTAGTTAACTTCAGAGGAAATAGCAAGGACCTAAACTAATCAGAACTGTTCAACTAAAGGGCCTGTGGCAGACCAATCAGATATGGTCCTGCCTAATGTTGTCTTTTTGCTGATGTGCTCTTACTAGTTACCTGTTCCCCTTAAGTGCTTGCAAGTAACCTCTGGAAAGGAGAGAGGGAGGGAAGGAAGGAAGGAAGGAGATGGCATACGTATATCAAATATGCTTAGATGTATGCATATTCTGAGTCGATCAGAAGCCCACCAGGGAAGGCTGGAGCTGCATTTCATTATCTTATCAACTCACAGCTGAAACACAACAGCGAGAGTTTTGATTTGTCACAGTGTGTGGATCAGTAAGTTCACAGGAGGACAAAATCTGCAACTATCTCTAGACTGCTGTGAATTGTGAGAACGAAAAGGAATTACATATGGTGATCCAAAGGGAAATAAATTCACTGTTAATCTGTAATTAGAAATTGAAAATGTGTAGTAAAAGTCAGAAAGGCTGGCAGATGGAGGTCAATTAAGGGACTCTTCCATGTCCTGGAGAAGAACAAGAATCCTATTGCTTAGCCCCCTCATATTTAGCTTAAACTCTGCATACTTGCATGGGAAGAGAGATAAGGATGAAGCAAATGGCAGGTTTTATCTTGTATCTGTCAATATTTGAGCATTAACATTTTTGGTGACCCTTTGCTTTGTATTATGCAAACTGAAATAAGTTATGCTCTCAATTGTTTTTATTCTGTTTGTGTCATTTATTAAGTTTTTAATGCCACAATTTAAATAATTTAATGTAGCATAAAAGATCAGTTTCTCTGAAGAAAATGCTAAGACCCAAGAAAAATGACCTTTATTGCCAAGAGAGGGTAGGCTGGAATCATACTTGTTGATGAAAGATAGGGAATGCCAGCCTACAATAAAAAGGAACAGTATTCATTTTCAAAGAGGTAGAGACCTGACCCCCAATTTCAGTTCCCTGAGATTCCTCCTTTTTATATATCTTGATCCTCACCTGGTTCCTTAATGAGTTCAAGCCACTGTTGAAAAATAACACAAAAAAATAGGTGGTTTTCCATAAGAAACAGAACGATACATAGGCGGGGTGAGGGGTGGGGGAATCTATAATATGTTAAATTTAAAAATAAAAATAGTAATATCTAATAGAAGACTAAAATATGAAAGTAGAAATGGAAAGGGCAGGATATACTTTGGGAATACTAAGGAAACAATAGTAAGGTATAGTAAGAGTCTGGATAAGAGAGGTCCCAAATGACTGACTTTAAAGGATTGGAAAAATGGCAGAATTGGTGATGAACACGAGGAAACCTATGAGCTGTCCACCCCTGCAGCCAGACAGGTACTTTAATCACATGAAGCTTGGGGTACTGTTATCTATCTGAAATGCAGAAACAGGAAATCTGAGTAGGAAGGCTGGGAACACAGCAGTGCACATCTCAGTGCCTGAGAGTAGGTGGATGCCAATATTAAGAGAATATTAAAGGATTAAAAAACCCCAACAAACTATAGACTTGGACAGATCCTACAAAATCAACAGAGAAACAGGAAATGGAGATGAAGAGCACTCACCACGAGGTACACCAGGAGTTCTCAGCTAAGCAGGAGGGGAATAAACGGCATAAAATCTCAAAAGGAACAAGAGGATCTCCAGCAGCTGTACCTCAGTCTAGGCTGCTTGGGTCTTAATAATTTTATCGAAGTTATAATTACATGCTTTCTTAAATATTTGAGATAGAGGAAAGAACACTTCCATTCTGTAGCGGTTTTGTAATAGGAGATACAGACTTGTAGACATACACATCAGGTTTTCCACTGAATTTCAGTCTCAATGTTTTCTCAAGGGATTGCTGCAAAACAAGTATCCAGTAGATGAGAATTACTAGTAAGATACACAAACTATAGAAAACATTAACATCATCTATAAACAAGCATAGACAGCATGTCAGAGAACAAAGCATCCTGCTGCATTAGCATCCTTGAGTACAAATTGTCTTCAAGCTCTTTTATTTGCTAAAGAGTAAAATACCTCTTAGTCATAATTAATTCTGAGTTCTTGTTCCTTTCAGATTATTCATGGAAAACCAAAGCTGCTCGTGCTCAGTTACCAGGTCCTACTTTCAATTCAGCAGCCAAAAACTTGAGTATCTTAACTCGCCCACCAATTCAGCCAGTACATGGAAGAACAGACTGGATGGCCAAATATGGAGGAAACAGATAGAAAGTATATATACATCCTGTATAGAGGTTATATCAGCTGTGTTCAGTTCTGCACTGGAAACCTGAAATGCCTATTTGCTCTAACTTGTCCAAAGACTATGCAATAGTAAAGAAGTAAAAAAGACCGTGCGTTCTATTACCTGTATAATACATATAATACCATGTAAATAGTGTCTGTAAAGTAGGATTTATTGAGGTATTGTATGACACATATTGCCAAAACTACAGAGAAGCAGATTTCACTCAACACTTTTCTATAGATGGATCTCGTCATACTCTTAAAACAACTGTTACGGTTGTTCGCCCAATGCAACATCCACTATTGGCATGTGTCTGAAGTACATGAGCAGCTAGAAGCAGGGCTAAAGCAGAGCAGCACCATGCTTTCAGGTATTCAGCTGGTTCCTTACCAAAAAGATCAGAGTGAAAGCACAGATAGGGCTTTGTGAAGAACACCATGCTCTCCTACGAGGACTTCAAAGCTCACCTGTTCTTGAGAGTTACTTAGGATCTGTAATGTGCAAATACTCATAATAACGATAAGAACTTAACTCCTGGTTGTAGGACATACACAGTCCACTAGTAAATACTACACAAAGAAGGTCTAAAAACTTAGCCCTTACATGGCTATGGAATGATATAGCAATACTGCAAAATAGCTAAACAAGTACTGGATGCTAGACTGACCTCGCCAAGCAGTAGTGAAGCCTGAAAATTAGATTCTACTATTACAATTAACTTATTACCACTTTTGGTCAAAGATCTGTGGAGAGTGATATCTGTCCTGTCAAGAGGGTGTCACAGTGACATTTTAAGGAGCCTGAACCACTGCAGTCTGTCAGTTATTTTAAAAGTGACTTAGCCAAAAAGGCATGAATTCTCAGTAAGCTCCTGTTCCTACATGTCTTTACTGGGTAATCAAACTAAACAAAACAAGTTGAATAAGCTACATGAGGGAGGATATTGGGCTGTTCTTCAAAAATGCTAATTTCTGGTTTAGCTCTTAGAGGCTAACTTAGGTACCTGAAAGCACACAAAAACGTTAATAATGCAATACCTCACTGTTTATATGCTTATTCAGTACTTTCTCTGGCTTCCATGCTAAGTTTTATAATAATATCCTGCAAAGGACCTTGCAATGTACAATAAATTGTTTTTAGGGCGTAGGGCTAGGCTACTTCTGTTAACAACTGCATTTAGAGTACATGCTTTTGGCCTAGTAGTTATATTAAACCTGCCATTTTAAAGTACAAAATTACTATGTTCTTTAAAGACGTAAAGCTGTTAATGATTGCATTAAGCATTGTAAAAAGTGTATTTGTATGGCTTTTATAACTGCATATAAAAATTTAAATTCCTGTTGTTGACCTAATGTGCTATAATATATGGGTTACACTAACTTCCTGGAAATCAATTTAATTTAAACGAGTTGTATTAAAAAGTAAAATATTTTGTTATGAAAATCGCACCTAAAGAAAATGCCACTTTCAGTACTGGAAGAGCTAGATAAGGATATCTGCTTAGTAATGCACTAGTCAGTTTAATTCAATTTCTATTGGTTTAGGTTTAACTATTTGTCATTCCCTTAGTACTAACAGATGCTCCTGTGCTATTTAAATGCATCTTAAGTTATCTATAAAGTATACCTGTAACTGGCTGTGGCAGAGAAGGACAGCCTCAGACTTGCAACAGGCATAAATGCACTGGTTTTGTAATTAAAAAAAAAACACCCCACCAAAAAAAAAAAACCCAAACAAACAAAAAACAGCCCAAGAGAAATGAATCACTCATCTCTAGTACAAGATGCTGTAATTTGGTTAAAATCACAGTCAGGTCAAGGAATTGACTAATAAGGTGTCCACAGCTCACATGTCTGTAAGTCAGGTAGAGCAGAAAAATAAACGGCTACTATTTATGGTACTAAACATGGGTAGAAGAAACATGCTGTCCTTACCATATGGAACAGCTTTGACATAACTGTAACAGCCTTTACTTGTCTGTAATGAAAGCATGACAAGTGTTCAGAAACTCTTCTCACAAACAGAAAGAAAAATCAGTAGTAAGAGTAGATATGCTTTGTATAGTCATTTTAATGCTGATTCATTGATATATGTTGAACTGTTAGTGCAGAAATACCATCTAATGCTTAAGACGTTTAATGTATATCCTGATAAAGTTCCAAGGGGGTAAAAAATAGGTAAGGCTAAAGCTTTTCTTTCTTCCCCAGTTTACTACAGTTTCTCCTGAACATGGAAAGCAGTAACGAGTTCTAGCAGCTGTTCTGAATTCAAGCTACTGCTTTCCAAAATTCATGAAACAGCATCAAGGCTTAAGAGTATGGCCTAAGCGTTTAAAAGCTTATCAGTCCAATTCCCTGCTTTCTGTTGTCTTTATTCCATTGAAGGAGAATTGCAGCCCAAACGTGAAGTTACCTGATATGAGACCAGCATTATACAATTAGAAAACTGCCAAATTGTGGCTGTTCTCATTTTATTGCAGAAGATGTATTTCTGTTTGCATCTCCTATGGAAGAGAACTGCTTCGAAAGCAATACAAAGAGGCAAATAACTCATACAGTAATTTAAAGAGAAGTGGCTTAAATGTTAACGTCTGGCTTACGAAGCTTTCTGAGCTAGAGAAAAGATACTCGGACATCTGCCCACCAAGGCTGGGTTCATGGCCTGGGATTAGGCACTTAAAAGGATGATTTATAAGCAAAATCATCTGCTGTCCTGCAAAAAGTAAGCACCTGAAGCTGAACTCTGCACGATGATGCATAATGGCTCTAGGAAGGTGTGCAAGTCCCGTCTCCCCTCAAGAAATCTCACTGCCTGTGCTCACGCCAGCTCTGACCCAAGTTGAGTGGCCTGAGACCCTCACCAGAGCTGTGCAAGAGCAAGGGTCTCAGCATGTCCCTTTGAATGTGGAACGCAACCTGCCCGACTTGGCATCCTGGCTTGACCTCAGCCCTGCCTCGCCACTGCCACTTGCCTGGCAAACCACAGGCTGGCAGAGCCTGGCTACCACCACAGGACTAACTCTGCACCTCCTGCTCCAGCAGTACCAGTTCACTGCCCAGCCTGTTCTGCTGCATCAAGAAAGGAAAGAAGGAAACCCACAAGATGTTACCCTCCTGCTAAGGTACTGGTCTGATATCTATAGAACTCTGAGCAACTCCAGAGGCTCACCAACCTAATGCATCAACCCCTCTGCTTCCATTTCTCCCAGTACCAGCACCAATGAAGAATGGCTGAAGAAAGTGAAGCTCAGAACCTGTGCAGAAAGGGATGCAAGTTAAATGAGACCAGAAAAGGGATACGTTACCATCCATGTGCAGCATCCAGGATTATTTCTGTGTGGCAGGTTTATATTTAGAATGATTTCAGGCATTAGGGGAATTGACTGAGGGCAAAGGCTGATCAGCTTCAGTCTTTAAACTTTCATAAGGCACTTTTGAAATCTAAACTAGAGGATTCCTCTCAGAAAGAGGAAAAAAACCCCGAAACGAACCAAAACAAAAAACAAAAACCAAACCAACTTTAATAGAACACTTCTCCGAATGTCTTTTGTTCTCTACGTCTCCCCCCTAGTTCATGGGATTTTTATATTTACAAGTCACTAGATTCAGGGAAGGGAGTAAAGATTATTTACATAATTCATGTTTGCAAATACATCCAGGCACCCTGCAGAAAAGGCACCAAAGTGTATGAATCCAGATGATAAACAATTAAAGAAAAAAATAATAATAATTGTATGGAATGCCGAAGTTTGTAGTAATAATTTGTTGGTTTATTGAGAATAACATTTTAATGCTCATTAAATACAAGAGCTGTGCTTACAGTTCAGCATTATCTAATAAAGCATATTTTTTGATTTATGAATAGTAATTGTAAAAGTGAAACAAATTACGTTCAGCTGGGCACTTTTGCTTACAAGTAATTGCAAGTAACAGGTTTGCATTCATTGCATTGACAGCCTGCTCCATGATTGTGGTTTGTGGGACATGGTTCTAACACACAGTGCTGGAAGAACAAAGCCCCTGACTGACAAACATCATGACTGGATGAACTGGCACAGAAAGGGAGAAGTAACATCATAAGCACATTTATTATGGTAGTTACTAGCTACAAACTGGCACCTCCTTACCCCTTGGTTTTGGGCTATAGATGATTTTAGAATGATGAGTCCAGATAAGTACATTTAAGCTTCAATCCTGCACCTGTCTACGTGCAAGTGCCAAGAGGTCTTTGTCTACAGCAAGCTGCAGGACCAGAGGCTAAACTACTGCTATAATCATATATTCTTGCTTCAAAGTGCAGAAAATGTTAAGACAAATACTATTTTGGAAAACGTTATAACAAGGGCTCTCCTTTAAAAAACACAACTCATGTTAGGATATAAAAAATACAGTGCACAGGTAGCAGTGCCTTTCCCGCTTTTGTGTAGCACATTTAGGCAGTTGCATTTTCAGGCTTCTCAATCACGCATCTTCAAGTGACTTGATGCAGACTTATGGCTTAAGAGGCTTTTCCATGAGCTGCAGTCCAAGCCGTCCAACCATCAGTAAACTGTTGAACAGAATAGTTGTTACAGAAAAAGTAAAGGCGGTGGAGGAAAAGAACAACAAAGAAGAAAACACTGACGTGATTTCATCTAGCAGAACTCCACCAGAAGATTTCATTTTTCACCACACAGCATTTTTAAAACAATATAATCCACAAATAAGTTAAATAAAATGCTTATTCAAAAATACAGGCAAGGACAAAAGAGAGGTGACTACCTGGCACCAGCAACTATCCCAGGCATTGGTTTTCTGGAGTTGTAAAATCTCATTCCCATAACAGCAGACAAGGTCCCAGATGCCACTGTTGGAAAGAAGCCCAGTCAGAACAGAAATACCAGCGCAGTGCTGCAGCGCTTGGACACTCAGCAGCACCAGCCCAACAGGCCTATGTCCACAGGCAGGAATGACCCCCTCCCTCCCTCCTCTCCCTAGGGAAGTGTATGCAAACATTTTACTTATTTGTGTTAAACAGCAGAGCTGTTGCAAGCTTCTCAGCAGCCTCAGTAAGCACGCTCCCGTGCTCAGCAGAGGCTTGTAGATTTCATCAGGGTTGAGGCTACTGTCTACCCTCTGGGCAGATCACTAACACTCCCCCACTTTCTCCTTATTTGCAGAAAAATGATTATTTCCTTGAATACAGACAGGCCCAGAACTGCCAGAAAACTGTGACACTGACAAAGTTCACTATATGGGAGGCAAATACTATTACAGTTCCCTTTTCTCTGTGATATTCTAATCTGGAAGACTAAATGCTACAACTAGAAATAAAACAGCCCCACTTAAAAATAAGAATTAGCAAACAAAAAGCCATCTAAGGGATCAAACTGAAAGAGCAACTAGCATCTTAAACATTACTCCAAATTATTTAATCTCTAAGTCTGGGAAAAAAACCCCATCAATATCCACAGAAAAGTTACAGGATCCTTGTTTCTTTGAAGAAAAGAGGCAGGTGGAGGTGTCGCATACCTTTCTCCAAAGCTTCAGGTTTGTTTGCATCAGACAAGGCAAAAGGTATTCTAAAAACATCCTGTCACTGTTCTTTTTCTGTATTTCTACCTAAAGCTCAGTGGAAGCCACAGCTGCACATCACAGCAGGGCTAAGGAGGAATGGATGAATAAAGAGTTGTGCCAGAATGGAACACAACATGGCTTTCAAGAGGTCCACTTGAAAGCACCACATCAGGATATACAGAAGCTGCTCATCTTTCTGCCGTGACACTGCTGACTAACTCATGCAGGAGATGCACAGCCATTCCCACAGCACGCCAGAGTGGGAGAGACAGTTCACAAATGGAAACTCTAACTCACACTAAGCTGTCTGACATTTCACTCCATTCTGACAAGACAGTTTGGGCCTCTGCTGTATCTACCAGGGGCTGCTTCATAAAGCCTCTCAGCACATTATATGATCCAGTCCTACTGGTTTTAAATAGTCTTCAATCACTCTGATGCTACAGTATCATAACACTAGTAATACTATGACATAGTTACAGAACTAGAAGGAACCTCAAGAGGTCCCCTAGGCTAACCCAGTGCCCAAAGGCAAGATCAATCCCTGACAGATACTGGTTTAAGCAGTTATTAAAGTCCTGCAGTGATGGAAGTCCCCAGGGTCCACCTGACCTCTTCCAGTGCTTCATAATACTTTCCGCTGTCATTTATCCTTCACCTGAAGGGTTAACTGCAAGCCAACCCACCACTTCTGGCAGAATAGATCCTTGCCTCCTTTCTTTTACATACTCCAGACTATTCTTCCACAGTATATGATGCCTTAAAACATGCTCTGCTCTTCTGAGATGCTTGTGCAAACCAGCCACATGAAGCCACATACTGTTTGTCACAGTGCTGTCACTATTGAAAAAACACTTACTCCATGACAACAGGCTAAACATGCTGTTTCACAACTATTTTCGACGTGTTTCCTGTGCCTACATTAGTTTAAAGAGCATCTGATCTGGCAGAGGAGATAGGTACTTTTCACCAACCCTGGCTTCAAGAACAACCTAGGTTTTAGAACCAGGTACCACACTCTCATACAAATACCTCCTGGCTGTGGGTAGAAGGCCCTGCCACCACTTAAAAGATTTGTACAAATATAAGGGCACGTATCAGCTGAAACGTGGTAGGAAGCAGGTTACTATCCCCACTGCTACCAGCCATGCACACTTACCAAGGGAAAGCCACACATTCTTTGGATCTTTGGACTGCTGGTAAGCGCCTAGTCCTGCTAAGCCACCGAAGAGAAGACCAGCAGCTAGAGAAGGGACGCTGCCTTGAATATAGTGAAAGTAAAGCAGTTAGTGGAAGAACATACATACAGCTGGTCTTGGCAGACCTCCACCGAGCACCGCGTCTATGCAACAAGGACTCAGCCCGGCCTGCCGGGGTCACCCCCGCTCGGGGCCGGCACACAGTGCCGGAGCCTCCCGCTGCCCTGGGAGAGGCGGAAGC